GGATAATCATAATATTTATGATAATACTATGTACCAGGGACTATTAGGTAAGCGAGTGTTTTGCTCCATGAAGCAGGGCTCCAAGTCTCTCCTCCCACTCTGAAAATGCTAGGGGGAACCAAAAGGTGTCCCTTAGTTTAAAGCGGGGCGTTGCTCGCAGCTGAGTGACAGCCGGGTCAGCAAGGACACCCCTCCCCTCGCAAGTGACCAGTTGCTATCAGAAGAACCCAGCTCAGGTCCAGGCTCCGCCACTTGGTCGCCGTAGCTCTCGGCAGGCGAGTTCACCTCTCAACCCGTGTCTTCTCTCCGGTCCAAGGTTGGGGTGAGGCTTAGCGACCCTAAGTTGGATTGCCTCCAGGCTCTCCCACCCAGCCCGCGCCCCGGACACCCCAAGGGGTACAGCGACCTGCACAAGACAAGACCGAAAAGCTGGAAGAAAAGATCTAACCTCGGCTCTTAGGAAACTGATGGCTGGCCCTTTCCCGGGGCACGTTGGGAAATATAGTCTTTTTCGGTACAGGGAAATAATTTCCGGGTCAAAACATAAGAGTGGGCGTGGCTCTGCGTCCCTTCCCACAGTGGGCGTTGAATTTCCCGGCTACCCAAAACTTGAGGTTTTCTGGGTTCCGGTTGTTGACAGGAGCAGCTACTTCCCTTTTTGCTTCATGCGCGCCTCTGCGCATGCTCTGAGCTTCCGTCCTCCCGTCGGTGGACTATGGTTTTGTTTCCAGAGACTACATTTCCCAGAAGGCCGCGCGAGTGGGCGGGGCCCCCTCTCCCCAAGGGGAGGGGAGCGGCGATCCGAGCGGACGCTGAGCCTGTGACCTCTTTCTTTCTTTTATTTAACATAAAACCGGTGTGTCCACCCGCAGGGCCCCGCGGCCGGGCCGGACCCAGTGCGGACGGGCTAGCTCGGCCTGGCCCCTTGGAAGGCAAGGCGGAGCTGCACTAGGAGAACGAGTGAGCCCCTCCACTACTCCCTCTCCTGGAGTTTGGAACTGTCAAGCTCCAGCTCCCATCCTCTCTCCAGGTTCAAGGCTCCTGCGCGGCCCACGCCGCGGGCCCGGCGGCGCTCGGGGGCCGGGCCGTGCCTGCCTGGCCCGTGAGGATCTGCACCAGCAGGTCGGTGGCCAGCATGTGCGACGGCTCCTCGAAGCCGATGGTCAGCAGCTGCTCGTAGTCCCCAGAAGGCTGCGGGGACAAAATCCTGGGGGCCGGGGAGAGACAGGCCTGGATGTGAGCGCCCCCTGCTACTCGGGAGCCCCTCCCCTTGAGTGAAAGGCTGCGGCTGAGAGAGGCTTTGTTTCAGCTAGGGGTGGGAAAAACCCTGGGGGAAAGTGATTTTCTTGTTGATGAGAAACATAGAGGGTAATGGCTCTGGGAGGCTGAACAACTCTGGCCCTGACCTGGCCAATAACTCAGCTAGCTGTGTGTCCTTGGGCAGGTAATTTATCCTCTCTGAGCACCTGTTTCCTTCTTTGTAAAGTGGGGCCAGTAGTATAGACCTCAGTGGGTTGTTAAACGAGTCTGCATAAAGCGCTTTTCGGGGCACAATAAAATGCTATCATTATTACCAATGGAAACAGTGTTGGGGGAGGTAGATGGTGTTTGTTTGGGTTCTGCCCCTCCCTCCAGACCCCACGCCCACCTTGCCATAGCCCTAGCTCCTACCACGAAGAAAGGTCATCCTCAGCTGGTCCTAGGGGCACCCATCGGCCGATGGACCACAGCTTCTGAATCTGGGGGCATGAGTTGGTTGGACTCTTGCCTGTGTCTTCCCATGTATCTCTATAGCACAGGAAGTAGCTGGGAGGGGAAGGGGCAGCAATTAAATGTGAGCAGTTTCCTAACTTCTGTTGGAGGGTTTTAATTTTGGAGGTAAGGTAGAAACTCCTCAGAAGTTGCCTTCAAGTTCTCAGGTAGGGATATGATTCAAGACTGAGGCTTTTTCTCACTGTCAGCCTACTTTTAAGATGAGGGCTTTTATTTTGATGGGGGCATATATATATTTTTAAAGGTGGGGATGACCTTTCAAAGGTCCTTGATTTCCTGCTTGGCTTTCCATTCTTTGATGGTGGTGGTTCAGTGGCCCAAACTGGCATTCTCCATAGAGAGGGGAGGACTTTGATTCTGATAAGGGGACTCACTAATCCACACGGGAATCTTGCCCCTGGCTGCTGGACTCTGGGGTGGTTTCCAGGTTCCAGCGCATCTTCTTATAGAGGTATCGGGGGAAGCGGCTGGCGGTGTAGGCGGCAGGGGCACAGTATCTAAAGATGGACACCTCGTGGGAAGGACTGATGGAGAACCTCCCGCAGAAGAAACAGGAGATGCTGGCAGGAGATGGGAGAGTGGGGAATGAGGGTATGCCCTGGACTCCTCCACCCCTGACCCCAATCCCAGTCTCCTAACCTTTTACCTTAGGGGGTCAGTCTCCTCCAGGTTCACAAACCCAAATGATGCATACATAAGGACCAGCTGTTCCAGGCGCAGAGTCAGCTGTTGGGAGATCTCCAACAGCTGCATGGAAGAGGGGGCATTAGCTGGCCTGATTAGCTGGCCTGCCATGAGCGTCCTCCCCATCCCCCAGGCCTGAGGCATGAAGAAAGGGACATAGGGTCTAGGAAACCTGCTCCACACACCCCCTTTCGGATCAGCTCCTGCAGGGCTCCAAAGATGGGGGGCACACTCCGTGCAGCTGCCTCCAGGTACAGGAAGTAGGGCTCACACATCTGCAAGAAGGTGGGCATGGCCCTCGCCAGCTGTTCCTTCTGCACTCGGTCCCTGCTGAAGGGAGAAGGGGGCCTTTGCCTGAGGTCCCTGGCTCCCCCACCAATTTCTCCCATTCCACTCACTGCCCACCTGTATCCCTGACCTGGACCCCAACTACAAACCAAATCCCCCAGTGTCAGGCCTTTCTCAGAGCATATTCCAGGACCACCAGCATCAAAAACATTTGAAACACTTGTTAAATGCAGACACCTGAGTCCCAAGACTGACTTTGACTTACTGTTCCCTGGGTGAAGCCCAGAAATCTAGGGTTTAAACAACCTCCCAGGGGATTCCCATGGACATTGATATATGAGAATCACAGTCCCCTTTCCCTTGGTCTGGGAATCATATTATCCTTTGAGGCCTCAAACTGGTAGCCAGTAGGCCAAATCTTGCTCAGATAGGTTTTGTTTAGCCTGCCCAGGGTTCAAAGCCTAAGCCAACGGCTACAAAGTGGGAGAAGAGTTCTAGCGATTTGGCAACCCCAAGGGCCCACATAATAGCCCGCACTCCCTAACCCCAAATTTCTACACAGTCCTCATAACTCTTCGAAATTGGATTGCTGATCAGCTAGCTTCATTTACCTCCTCTGGCTCCTAATGCTTTTGAGTTTGCAAATCTAGTGTCGTCTGTCACCTATTTTGTTATCCCCTTCTCCATCTCCTTATCCATGGGTAGAACCTAGGACCCCGTCCAACATCACCTGTAGAACAAGTAGCTCTGGAAATCATCTGCCTTCTTGAGCAGGTAACGGAGCTGTTCGCTGATGGGGCCGAACATGGTGTCCAAGGGTAGGCGAGGAGGGGCGGGCCCGGGGCCTGGGGCCAGAGGCTCAGGGAAAGGCGTAGAGGTGGAGGCCTCGGGCAGCTGCCCCTGAATATCCTCGGGCTCCGCCTGGGGTGAGTCCCCAGGTCGGCCAGTGGGGTCTTCGCAGGGCTGTACCCGAGGTTCCAAGTCGTCCGGGAGCGGCGTTTCCCCAGGGCCCGCGGGGAGCGGCCCCAAGAACCACTGCCTGGTTGCCATCGTGCGGCGGGAGGCGGGGACCAGAGCTCTTTAAGCCTCCGCTGCTCACATTGGCCGCAGGTTCGACCCCGCCCAGGGTACCTCGGACTTGGCTGGGAGCGCGTCCCCCTCCATCTCACCCGGGCCTCGACCTCTCTGCCGGCGCTGCGTGGAGGGAGTTCAGTTCATTTGAATTTCAACACGCAGGAGGGGCGAAACGTTCCGGCTCGCGCTGCGCGGCCCGGCCGCGGCGCCTCGCGCACACGCGCGCTCCCGGAACCTGGCCGTGGGGTACGCGCCGGGGGAGGCGACCTGGGCCGCTGCTGGCGCGGCAGTGTCCTGGGGGTGCGACCTGGGGCCAGCGCATTTGACTCTCTGAGGCGGTTTCCTAGGGAGGAGGGGTCTCTACCGAGCGTCCAAACCCCGGGGTTGCAGGTATAGAAAACGAGGACGGCCCCGCCCCACTCGCTGAGTCTCTGACTCCCAGCACACGGAATCTGTATATTTTTTTAAAAAACTAATGGAGTTGAGAAACTGCACTAGAACTTAGCAGCACTTGTGATGTAGTGGTTGTTACTAACAATAATAAAAATTTTCACTTGGAAAAATTTTCCCATCCCATGACCTCATCTGATGGCCCAGTCCTTTCCGCCCCTTTTATGGAGAGGGCCAGGAGGCCTGGAGACCCTACCATGGGCCCAAAACAGACCCCTGCCCACAACAGTTGTAGGCTGGATTCTTTGTAACGTGCAAAGGTTGTCAGATAATAGAGCTATGAAGCCAAACATATTAATTATACTTAAAGACTCTGGGTAAAGAACTCAGACAGGTGTCAGGCTGCACCCTGCGTGACCCTGAGCAAACATCTTTGCTGTGATGAGCCAGTTGCCACATCTGTAAAGTGGATTTTTCACGAGCCCTGCCTCATGGGGCTGTGGTGAGACCCAGAGAATGCCCGTAAAGCCTAGAGTTAACTGCTAGTCACTTAACAAATATTTGAGCACCTACTGTGTGCCCAGGCGCTGTTCTGGGAATGGGGAGATGGCAGAAGCAGCAAATATTCCTGTCCTCCTGGAGCAGTTAGCTGGCTGTGGGGCAGCCCCATTCACTACCTGTCTCCCTCCTCAAACAATTCTGTCCTAACCCAAGACTCCCAGGAGGCTGGTGTGGATCTTCACGTCCCCGACTACATTCATAAAATGGACGCTGTGCCATGTTTTTCTTCTCTCTTTTTTTAAAATTTTATTTAAAAAACCTTCGGTGCAATATTAAAAAGCAATACAGCCAGCTGGAGCGACAATGAACAGAAAGAAATGGGAGGGGTAAGGAAGATCCAGGGACCCCCCTCCCAGCTGCTCCCAGGGGCTGGAGGCCAGGGACAGACTGGGGAGGGGCCTGGGTGGTGGGGGAGGGAGGAACGGCCACCCACCAAAATGAACAGACAGAATAAAACATTTATATAGGAAACATCTGGCTGAACTGAAGAGGATCTAGGGAAGATGGGAAGCCCCCATTTTACTTTTCCAAAAATGTCCTAGACTGGGTGAGGGGGAGGGTTGGCCTCCTGGGGTGAAATGAGTAGGCCCTGTCCCACCCGACACTCCTCTATCATGGAGTACAGGCTGTGCTGGGCGCCAGAGGTGTGTGTGTTGGGGAGACACAGGGAAAAGATGAGTAGGAATGCCCCCTCACTGGAATCTGTTGTGAGGGCTGAGGGTGTCCCCGACCAGCTCCCGGACTCTGGGGGTCTTGTGTAAGATGGGGACTGGAATGGGTTGGGACAGGGGCGAGGCTTGGCGCTCAGCCTAGAAAGCCATCGGGGTCGTCATCCTCAAAGTGGCCTTGTTGCAGCACCTTGATGTGGTGCTCGTAGATTTTCAGGGCTGGGCCGAGGCGGATGGACAGGCCGGTCAGCACATCTGTGCGCTGCATGAGCAGCAAAGACTTGCCATCGATTTCCTGGGTGGGACAGAGAGAGAGAGAGAGAGAGAGAGAGAGAGAGAGAGAGAGAGAGAGAGAGAGAGAGCGAGCGAGCAGGGTCAGAGCACACCCCCCCACTAAGGAACGCTGGGGCTAAGTTGAGGGTCAGGAACTCACTTGCTCTTGGAAAGCTGTTGCCTGCTCGGGGAAGCCGGCCTCGGTGAAGTACTCTACCACATCTGTCACTGTCCACTCCACAGGATCAGCCGGCTTCTCCTTGCGCCCAGAACTGTGTTGGAACAAAGGGAACCAGTGAGCAGTGATGCTCCTCTGGTTCTGTGATACACACCTGGGCGGCACCCCTGTGTCTCAAACACCCCAACTTACGGACAGCCAAAGGGGGTCCCATCAGCCCCAGGTAGGGCTGGTTTTCCTGGGGGCAAAGGCACGGGGGATGGGGAGTCTGGCCCAGTGGCAGCAGAGGCTGGGAAATAAAAAGCATATGCCTGTGGTTTTGTCTTGGGGCTCGGTTCCTTCCCACCAGGCACCCTCCCCCACCCGGCGGGGTCCTTACCTGATCCCCCTTCCTTATTCATGGCGGCCATGGAGAATACCTGTCGGGTACCACTGCCTGGTGCTGGCCCCCGCCCTTCATCCTGGCCCTGGTGGGGTCCACAGGGTGTCCACTCCTTGATCCTCTCCTTGGCACTCTGAGGGCCCCGCTCGCCATTAAGCTGCTGGTGCTGGGCACCTGCAGGACGGTCACCCTCGGGCACCTCGGAGCCCTCAGACACTTCGTCTTCATCATCTTCACCTACATGATCTTCATCCTCCTCTTCCTTCTCAAGCACTCGCTCTTCTCCACCTCTCTGGTGCAAGGGAGACAGGCACGCAAGGTTAGTAGCTGTTCTGGCCCTGGGCCCAATCCCTGGGATCCAGGACCAAGTGGTGTGCCTCACTACCACCTTTAATATCAACACGGACTAACTTTTACACATTCACTCCATGCCAGGCTCTGTGTTAATAAAGCCCTCAGTAGCCCAATCTCATTAAACGCGCTCAACAACCCCAAGGAGTCGCTACTGTTATTAAGTCGCGTTTTACAGCAGAGGAAACTGAGGCTGGGGAAGATCAAGTCACTTGCCAAGGTCACCACCCGCCGAGCCCGCCGGGAAGAAGCGCAAAGCCCCGGCCGCCTGCGGCCCGGTTACTCCCGGGATTCGCGCCCCGCTACCAACTTCGCCCGCACCTGCCCACCGCGCGGCGCCCCCCTCCGCGGCGCGCTCACCTTGCTCCGCGACGCGCGGGCGCTGGCAGCCGATGGTGCCCGCCCGGGCCTGTCCCCGCGGGGCAGCGCGAGCGCTCCGAGGCGGGTGCGCTCCAGGCGGCCCCGCGCCGCCGCCTCCTCCTCTAGCAGCCCCTGCACGCGGCCGCGGGTTAGGCGGCCGCCGGCGCCGCCGCTGCCCCCGAGGTAGCGCACGACTTCCCGCAGGCTCACGGGCCGCGCCGGGCCGCCGGCCCGCGCCGCGCCCCCCTCCGGCGGCTGCTGTGGCTGCGGCGGCGGCTGCTGCTGCTGCTGTGGCGGCGCCGGCGGCTGTGGCGGCGGCGGCAGCGGCGGCTCCCGGT